ACACACACACACACACACACACACACACACACCTGACAGACCCCTCCATCTGGGTCCCGCGTGAGTCCTTGGACTTGCTGTGCCTCCATCCTGTACCTCCTTGTCCCTCATGTGTGCCCATCACCATGTGCGGGGGAGGCTGTCCCCACCGGCCAGGTGCCCTGCATCAGACCCTCGGTGGGTGTGTGTCTTGTGGGGCCATCACGCACACCTACAGTCCCCCATCCGGGGCCCTGTGTTCTGTGGGAGCCATCCCTGGGCTTCCCTGGCCCCCCCAAGTGTGCTGATGGCCGCGTGCAGGAGAGGGGGTGGCCCGTGTCCCCCAGGTAGGGTGTGTGTATTGTGGGGCCCTGGTGCCCTCTGCACTTCCCCGCTGACCGCACCCCTCTCCCCCTGTCCTGCAGGCCCCAGGGAGCGCCATGGCCCGAGCACGCCAGGAGGGCAGCTCCCCGGAGCCCGTAGAGGGCCTGGCCCGCGACGGCCCGCGCCCCTTTCCCCTCAGCCGCCTGGTGCCCTCGGCCGTGTCCTGCGGCCTCTGCGAGCCCGGCCTGCCCGCCGCCCCCGCCGCCCCCGCCCTGCTGCCCGCCGCCTACCTCTGCGCCCCCACCGCCCCGCCCGCCGTCACCGCCGCCCTGGGGGGCCCCCGCTGGCCTGGGGGTCCCCGCAGCCGGCCCCGAGGTCCGCGCCCCGACGGTGAGTGCCGCCCCGCAACTGGCGCCCCGGGATGCTGGGAGCCGGGAAAGAGACACTGAGGGACCGGAGAAGCGGGAGCGAGTGGGGGGAGGCGGCGAGCCAGCCGGGCCACAGGGAGGGTGTGGCCAGTGTGGTCTTTGTGTTGCAAGAAGCAGGAAGAAGGAGTGGGAGGCTGGGGGGGGGGGGGAGGGGGGGGGGCCGGGGGGGAAGTCCCCCCGGGAACTGACTGCCGTCCGCGAGTTGCAGCCCACGGCCTTTCCGGGGCCGGGCGGCAGCTCTTTCCCCCCACCCCCCCCCCCCCCCCCCCCCCGCCCCCCTAGTCTGGGTCTCCTTAACCTCCCAGAGGACCGTGGTTGGGGAGAGTGTGGGCAGAGCGAGAGGACTGTCACTTCAGGACTTAGGGGAGGGTGGCCTTTTGCCTTCATCTGCATCTCCGGCCAGGGCCGCCCCTCTCCGCAGTCCGGGTGGAGAGAGGAGAGGGGGAGGGGCCATTGTGCGGGGGAAAGTGGGGGTGGGGGAGGCGGGAGTGGGAAAGTGAGTCTTGGGAAGGGAAGGGTTAAAGGTCCCCTGCCGGATGGGCTGTTAACCCTGTGGTGCCCTGCTCGCCCCATCCCAGGGAGCACACTCGGTGGCAGGGAAGACGCTCCTGGCTTCTCTCTCCACCCCAACCCCCGCACCCTGTGCCTGAAGCCCAGGGAGGTCAGGGGAGAGACAGCTCCCCCGGCTGAGTTCCCCGGCAGGCAGCGGGGGCAAGAGGGGACCCGGTTTCAAGCCCACCGTCACAGGTGTGGAAACTGTGAGGCCCCGATCTCAGGCCTTAGAGATCCCTCACACCAGGACCTGGTGTGGCAAGGAGAGAGGAAGAGACTTCGGGGCTGCTCAGAAGGGGGTGAGGCAGGAAGGCATCTCCCGAATCCCAGCCCCCCCAGGCCCGAGCTCGGAGGCAGCCAGTCTGGCCTTCTGGTCTCCATGCCCCTGCCACATCCGGGGGGTGTGGCTTCACTGTGGTTGGACACGGAGAGGGCAGGAGACCTGAGGCTTGTGACTGGGTGTAGTCAGTCGCCTTATCCCTATGTGACCTTGGGCCACTTCTTAGGGTGGGCCTTAGTTTCCCCGTCTGGTAAATGGAACAGGCAAAATTTGGTCCCGTTTTGGAAGAGTTAGGTCGGATAAGAGGAAGGACTTCCAGACTAACATGGGTAGTGGGGGTGGTGGCTGGCTAGACAGGTGGCCCCCAGAGAGGCCTCCTTCGGGCCTCTTCTTGCTTCCTGGTACCTGGGGAGTAGAAGCTGAGAAACCTGACTTTAGGAGGGGAAAACAGAATTGCTAGAAATGAGGCGGGGAGTAGAAAGGAAACCAGGAGGCTGGAAAAGGGAGAAGCGGGCCCTGGCTAACTGGTCCCTCGGGAACACCTCAGGGCCTAGAGGGGTGGTGGGTGCTGATCACGCTCCCCCCGCCCCCCCCCCCCCCCCCGTTCCCCCCTCGCCCGCCCCCCCCCCCCCCCCCCCCCGCCTTTCCCCCAGGTCCTCAGCCCTCACTCTCGCCGGCAGAGCAGCACCTGGAGTCGCCGGTGCCCAGCGCCCCGGGGGCCCTGGCGGGCGGCCCCACCCAGGCAGCCCCGGGAGTCCGGGGGGAGGAGGAGCAGTGGGCCCGGGAGATCGGGGCCCAGCTGCGGCGGATGGCGGACGACCTCAACGCGCTGTACGAGCGGCGGGTGAGTGCTGGGGGAGGGGTAGACGGCAGGTGGGACTTCCCGCCCGGGAGGGGGCTGCGGGCCGCCCCGCCAGATGTGCGGCAGCTGCCGCCCGGCGCGGCGGGGTCGCGCCGGGGACAGGCAGGTGGGAGGGGCGGCGGGCCCGCGGACCTGCCGAAGGGCCCGCGCCGCGGCGGGCACA